AAAGCATGTTTTTGTCTACACATAGGGGAGGGGGAAGGGTTAGAAAGAAGGAATGAACTACTTTACCCTCAAATTGAAAGGTTTATGATTTCAAATGCCCATAAAAGCATAGCATTCTTCTTCCTCCTCCCATCTGAAGCTAACCAGGGACATCTCAGGTCTGTTTAGTGCAGAAAACCATATAGGAAGAAAGTCAGAAAACAGCTTGGAATACTCTAATGTGAAATAAATGTGTACACAGAGCTTATACCATTGGTGAAGGACACAATGTTTCCAATCAAGCCATTGTCTACAAATATTGTATTTGAATATTGAATTCACATTTTTATTTTTCTGTACACTTCTAGAATAGGTTGCATCCTGCTGTGCTGGAAAATTGTAGAATGGTTCTCCCACTTGGAACCGTTGGAATGGGTTAAATGAATAATCCCCTTAGTGAAATCAGTGTTTATCTTTATGTACTGGATACAAAGATGTACTTAAGTCCTGATTTTAATGTGTTAACCTTAAATGTAGTTTACTTTGAGGCAATGTTACAATGAATTGACAATCCTGTAGGTTATCATTACCAGTTGGCTAAACAATTTGAACATTGACAATGTTTTCTTTAACAGGAGTATTGCCGCTCTGACGTTAATATCGCTTGCAACCTTGATGAACTTCCCTAACCCTCTCAATGCCATGCAGATTTTATGGATTAATATCATCATGGATGGTCCTCCAGCCCAGAGGTACGAGAGTATGTGGTACTGGAAAGGGAGCAATATAAGCCTGCATCTATATGAATAGTGATTGTTTTTTTTGATTGATGTGTGAATTAAATTAGCTGGTCCATAAAACAACACTTTTTAGTCTTATTTCGATAAGTTGAAGGATATTAGTTTATTACTGCTATCAAGAATGCTTTATATCTTCTGGTTCTAAATGATTGTTTATAACGGAGTTGCATAATTTATACCTTGAGGTATATTCTAGAAAAATTGAGCACATTTTATGAAGATTGAGTTCAAGACACATTTGAAGACACTGTGTTTTCAAATTGAATTGAGTAATTCATGTTTAAAGAAACACTATAGTCAACCAGAGCAGTTTATCTCAATGAAGTTGGATTGGACGCACAGAGGAGGCCATTCTTCCTCCTTGATGTTATTGGAGGAGGAGAGCTGAGCTTGCTGGAAAGGTAAGTAAAACATTTTTTTTGTTTTGTTGTTTTGCAAGGTTGGGGTGAATAGATACTATAGTGTTAGCAATATAGATTTATATTGATAATGTTATAGTGTTCCTTTAAACAGCAGCTCACCAGTAGACCTACATGCTGCAAAAGCCACACCTTCAAGTGATCTCTTAGCACTCGTAGAGCGGATTGTTGTGTCCTTCTTTTGTGTTCATTACACAGCTAAACAAACTAAAAAAAATATTTTTGTTTTGTTTTCAGTCTTGGAGTGGAGCCAGTTGACAAGGATGTAATTAGAAAACCCCCACGAAACCTTAAGGACAGTATTTTAACCAAGAACCTAATTATCAAAATCCTTATCTCTTCTTTCATCATAGTGTGTGGGACCTTGTTTGTCTTCTGGAGAGAGGTGAGTTTTTGATCGGTGTAGATGCTTATGTAATTACCGGTATATACATGTGTCCGAATTGACATGTCTGTGAAGCATCCAGGGGAAACAAAAATATTGGAATAGTACGTTTGTTACATGTTGTTGTTAAGAATTTAAATAAAATGTGAACAAATGAGGTCATTAAACAATGGTGTTTTTTTTTGTTGTTGGTTTTTCTTCCAGCTGAGGGATAATGTCATAACTCCCAGGGACACAACAATGACGTTTACATGCTTCGTGTTTTTTGACATGTTCAATGCATTAAGTTCAAGGTCACAGGTAAGGCTGAATGTTAAATCTGAAATGAAAACAATAAGGGTACATTGTTAACAATGGAAGAGGGAAAAAGAGAAGTGTTTTAAAGTGGTCAGTAGCTGGCACACCAAGAGTGTTATTTACAAAAAGCCTAAATTGACAAAATAATTTGGTTACTTTCAGTTCTGGAGATAATCATTCAATTTTACAAGTGAATGAAGGTGATGGTCTTGCCAAAATGATATAAAAAGTAGTTGAGAAACAGGAGTGTACCATTGGTCTTTAAGGGGTTAAACAAAATTTTGTATCTGAAATCTATTATCAAACTAACCCTAAAAAAATAAATAAAAAATGTGCCTGGAAGCCTTAGGACATCTACACAACCAGGAAGTTACCAGTACCAGCTCTAATCTCTTCCCTCACCACAACAGCCAGAAGTGAAATGGTAACTATGCGCTGCCCTACCCACCTTTTCCAATGTGTGTCTATTAAAAGTTAAAAAAAAATAAAGTAGGGGTCCACAAGGCGCTCCACTAACCTGGAATCTTGTGGAATGACTGCCTTTTTTACCACCCAAGTGTGATCAGTAAGAGGTTAACACTCTATTTCCCAACAGGAAACAAATTTTTTATTGCCCACTTGCAATAATAGCACCTGACTCCCCTGGCACAGTGTCAGGGAAATGCCGAAGTTTTCAATTGCCTCCTTTCTTTAATCTTGTATTCCTAGCTATATATATGGGCTGGGGTATTTTTTTCAGTAACTTTTCCATGTTTTCATACATACGTGTCCAACACAGCATTGTTGGATGATTCCTCCATATTCTATTTTTTTGGCCCAATAAAACAGGCATTAATTAACAATAATAAACCCCTACTGCTCCCACCACACATTAAATGGGTAGGACCTTTGGCTCATTCCTGAATATAAGAGGGTCCTTTAATTTACCACCTCAACCATGGTAGCTTATTCATACAGTGGGGGACTATACTAGTTATTTGTTCACAACCTGAAAGGAAAAAAGGGTCTGGTTGTTTGTCTGAATATCTGGGAGTCTGTTTGTTGTTAGCCTTACTTTTAATAAATTGTTGTATTCTGTTTATGTAAAATAACTAATTCACCTCAGCTGGATATATATATAACATAGCAAGATTACTATGAGAAGAAATCTACTGGGAGAATTCAAAATGTGTGCATTTAAAAAACCCCACAAAAAAACCATCCAAGGTTTATTAGCTTGATCGTTGCATACATCAGTAAAGGCAAATACGTGCATCAAAGATGGTATATAGCGATAGAACTGCATGTCTAGATATCACATTAGTATCAAGGCGTTATATTGATACAGTAGCCATATGTGCCAAACGTTTCTGGTATTGGTAAAATTGTAAGTTCCGTCACAATCTGTCACTGTAGGTCAAAGTGTAGTTAAGGTTTATTTGCTAGACAATAATAGCTTGGAATGGTAAGACAGCATATTTAGGCATAGTAAAGGAAAGCCTGTTTCTGCATAGGGTGCAGAGGAAACCTAGTATAAGCCAGCATCCTAAAACTTAGCCTAGGTCTATATAGGCGTCAATTTAATTGTTAGGCATTATATAAGTTATGGTAGCCACATGTGGCACAAGTTTCCTGTGTTAGTTAGACCGTTAGGTCCATCACTGCCTGCACACTGGTTTAATGCATATTTAAGCTTATTCGGCTCATCAGTAGTAGCATAGAACTGAACAAAGCATAGTATAAGCTGTGTCAGGTTATAAAAGAAAGTTGTTCCAGCCTTCTAAGAAGGGGAGACATAGAAAAGGAAAAAGGGCCTATGTGAAGTCCCCTGTTAAGCACCAGTGAGAGTGTTTCCCAGCACTCCAAAGTGCTTTGTGCCACGCGTGCGCAGCCGGGTATAACAAGACACCCTAAATTAAAATAATTAAAAAAAAAAATTAAATAAAAATTTAAAGAAAATAAAGAAAATCACAAAGGAAATACAGGTATTAAGTGTGTGCATTTTTTGTTTGTTTTATTTTTATGACTAGACCTTATTGAAAACATAGGTGACAGGAGTCAGACAATTGTCCTAGAATCTAACTTATTCATGATCTGTAAAACTGCATATGTTTATATTTTTTGTAGACTAAATCTGTCTTTGAGGTAGGCCTATGCAGCAACAAGATGTTCTGTTATGCTGTGCTTGGATCAATCATGGGACAGCTGCTTGTCATCTACTTCCCACCACTGCAGAAGGTCTTTCAGACCGAAAGTCTGAGTATCCAAGGTAAGGGCTAGGAAAATGTCTTTGTGGCTCAGTCACTAAAGATCAAGTTGTGTTTTCTTGCAAACCAAGTTGGTTATTAAGAATTCTCAGCTGATATAGAGATTTATGTATAAAACATAAAAATGCTAAAATAAAAACCATAAATAAAAGTATAAATATTTATATGAAGTAGCATAAATTTTTCCCCAAAGAATATTAAACAATTCATTGTTTAATATTCTTTAATCTGCATTTGGAATTTTATAGAACAATATATTTGCACAGAAAGTTTTTTTTTTGACTGTTGATATATTTTTCCATCCATGCTTTGTGCACACTGATGTACATGCACCAGCATGGTTGTGTCAGCTGCACATTGAAACCTGTGTGAACCTGCTAACATAGGGAAGGTTAGACATAATAAAAAAGAACTGGCAATTTTTTGTTAGGTTCATTTTATTATTATTATTGCCATTTATATAGCTCCAACAGATTCCGTAGCGCTTTGCAATATTATGAGGGGGGTTTAACTATAAATAGGACAATTACAAGAAAACTTACAGGAACGATAGGTTGAAGAGGACCCTGCTCAATTGAGCTTACAGTCTATAGGAGGTGGGGTGTAAAACACATTAGGACAGGAATTTGCAGTCAAATAAGGGAGGCTGCCCTTTAGGAGAGAGCAAGACAGGTATGTGAGGTAGAGGTTACTCTGGGAGGCCATAAGCTTTCCTGAAGAGATGGGTTTTAAGGCACTTCTTAAAAGATGCAAGATTAGGGGAGAGTCTGATGGCGGTAGGCAGGCTATTCCATAGGAAGGGAGCCACACGCGAGAAGTCCTGCAAGCGTGAGTTTGCCGTACAGGTTATTGACTTTTCTTTCTCCTATCTTGTAGATCTGCTGTTCTTAATAGGACTGACATCTTCTGTGTGGATAGTGTCTGAAGTCATAAAGAAGGTGGAAAGACACCAGGAGGGTTTCCAAAAGCACAACACTGCATCATCTTCTTTATTTCTTGATGTATGACGCATATTGCATTCTTAATTTCATACTTAAGAAGCAACTATGAAGAACCCTTTAAAAGCTGAGCATCCAGAAAACCGTTGTGGGGATTGATAAATGCCCTGCGTCTTCTAAGAAACTCTACTTGGAGTGAAAACACAAGGAGCTTCCAAAAGGGTGCCTTCAATATGGGTGAAAGTGGACAATTCTATGGAGAAATTAACTCCTTAATGATAAGGCTGGTTATAGATCAAGCATTACTCTTTTTTTTGTTATAAGTATTTTTTTCTCCACCAAAATGTAGGTTTGAGTCTTTCGCATAGCCAAACCGCTTACTTATGTAGTGAATTTTTAATATATATATATATATATATATATATATATATATATATTAATTACACCTTTGTGTGTATATTTGTACACATAGGCATCCATAATTAATATATGGTATAGTTCTCTTTCGCTCGATAGGCTTGTTACAGAAAATGGGTGGGTATTTTTTATTCTTCAAGAGTCATGGCTTATAAGCACACGCAACTTTCCTTGACCATATTTATTTTGTACATCATGTGTTTTACGATCACCACCATTTGTAGATTTTTTATTTTTTTTTGCACAGGGTATGGCCACTGTTCGGACAGTTGTAGTTTTACCCCTTGCACTCGGCTCATTTTATTTTGCGGTTTCCTATAATTTAATGTTCTATGCACCTTGCAAGGTGCTACGTGATGTTGAATCCAAATGACTGTTATCGCTCTATTTTGGTGGCTTTCCAAACAATGTCAAACACTTCATACAGTTATTTTTTTAATATGACCTAAATACTACTGTAGTGATATATCTGTTTGGATTTTGGTTTTGTCAATGCACTGTAATTTTTAATTTTCAAAACCAATGGAGTGTCTTCCTTCCTTCCTTCTTTTCTACCTTTCTCTTTTCTCTGCTCAATGTACTGTTTCCGCAATAATGTTCCTTTGCTCTGTATAATTCTTAAATGGTATCGCAAGTGAAGAGTTTCTAAATTCTAAATTAAAAGTATTCTTCATAGGGAAGGTGCTCACACTTCCCCCTTTTAAGTTTATATACTAAACTACAAACTGCAGAGAATTGAAAGGGAATTGCTGAATTTTGGACCAAAATAAACAAGGTGGATACATTTTCCAATTTAGTTACATTGGTCTGCAATTTTCAATTCTCTGTTAAATTATAAAACCAAAAAGTCTTTTATTTCATGGTGGTATTATTCTTGGGAGAAATAACCACTGATGATAATTTTCATCTAATAGTGGTTTTCCATCAGCACCTAATTGGCCGATAGTGTTGACTTTCATTAAAACCAACCTTACATATTCTTTTCAGTTTTTTTTTGTTCATTTATTTCCAGATATTATGTAAATGACCAAGTACATTTTAGTTGTGAATAATTTTGTGTTTCTTCACAGCTTATTCATTTTAAGTTCCATATTTGTATATTTTGATGGTACAAAAAAACTAAATATTTTTTGATAAACTGCTCCTGCTGGATCTCTGATATATTTTGTTCTTAAAAAGTACCGCATACACAGGTTCATCCCTTAAAGTGGAAGTGTCACTTTCCAGGATTTTTAATGTGTTTCCTATCACATATGTTTAACAAATTTGTATTTTGTCAGGGCTAAAAAGTTAAATTAAATGTAGAAATCCAAACTACTGTATTTAGATCTGCCCTAGAATTCCATCTTGGTTCTGCGCACAAATAATCGTTGTTATCCTCTGCACTTTTTTGAAACTAGACATATTATGGAGAACCAAAACAATGTGTCCACTGTATAATTTACAGAGAAGGTATGCATCTGCCATATAGTAGAAAGCTCAAATGTTTTTTTTGTGGAGTAAGATAATAAATACACTCAGTTGAATTACATTAAATGCTGTCTTTTAGTTATTTAGGATACAGATGGCACGGTATTAAGGAATTTAAAGTTTTGTTGTTTTTTTTAAAGTGGAGTTTGTTCAAAAAGTCATCCAGTGATCCTATTACGTTGTTAGAAGAAGAAAATATACTATTACCAAATAGAAAACAAAACTGACTTTTGGAATCTCCACTATTCATACTTATGAAATAGGTGGATCCGCTGAAATGTTATATTGGTTAATTAATAAATCGTACTGCAGGAATGTTATAAAGCATCTAGCTCCTGCTAGATGCTCCTCCTACATCCAATCTTCAGTAACCTTCTCAGAAATCATGGTGACAGGGGAAGGATCATTGCATTGGCCAGGGAAATGGGAGGAGATAGGCAGTCTTAACTGGTATTCCAAATTAGATCTGGTCATGTGCTCTAGGAAAGAATCAAACTTTATTGTTGTCTAAGGCCATATTGCCTACCTGATACCAATAAAGGACATTATTGTGCCTTTAGAATCCCTTCTTAAGCACACAAGCACACATAACTATTCCATTGACATACAGCTGACTGTCAATCTCTACCCCCTCATTACAATGTATGTATCTGTTTCCCACACAACAGTCTGCTCTAATGAACACAATCATAATGATGGAGCTGGAGTAAAATGAGCTCACATGAAAATTGATTTATACAGCCATAATAAATAGAACTGAAGAGTAAGTGCACTAAAAAAAAGCTTAACTGCTTGATTAAAAAATAAAAAACCCTACCGTTTTCAGCCAGAGGAGGGTGGCCAGACCTCAACTTTAAGGGAGTATGTTTCTTGAAAATATATATTGCAGAGCTGCAGTGACGTGCAAGGTGCTTTTTACGTAAGCATCCCACCTTAAAAAAAGTAAAAAAATAAAAATAAAAAGTGGGCATCACAAAGCAAAGAGCATTTTTTGTTTAATTTCTTAAATATTTTTGAAAGGCTCATGCATCCACTTTAGATTTCACTCTTGACTCTGCATCATAACATTTTTAATTTTACCCTCTGTTATACAAAAGTAATGTATTTATACTACACACGTCATATTATCACTTTAATTAAGAACTGGAAGCCATTACAACTGTACAGCTATTGTATTGGCTAGTAAAGTAAGTGTGGCTTTTACTTATATCAAAGTGAGCTGCTACCTATACTAGATGACCTATGCACTGCTGGATTTGTTAATTAAAGGGAAATCCTTTGTAGTGATTGTAGAATTCATTTGGGGGTTTGAGGGAATTTGTTGTCCTAACATTTACCACTTTACCATCATGTTGAGACAAAAGCAATTGTGTAAGAGGGAAAGGAGTTCTCTGCAAGACATTCTTACTATTGGACAAGACAGGAAAGAGAGTGAGTTTACGTTTTTGGAAATTATAGCCGGTGTTCGCCTCTCAGTGCAGACAAGAAATTGGTCTTGTCTTATACATTCTGAAATTTGCATCACTAGTTACTGAGGGCGAGACCTTAGGTGCTTTGTTAATCAAGAGTCCTAGAAAAATAGTTTTGGACTGTTTATGTTGGAACACAGCAGCAAAAAGTCTGCTGACATTTTTTCCGCATCCGTCTTACCATGTCTTTTCTTCCCATCTCGGCCTGACCTCCATAGTATGGACACAGAGTTCTATCACCTTTTTAATAAGTGTGAGTCTGCCCAACACTACTGCAAGCTCCTTGCTAAATGAAGAGCAATGTTGACAGATGTGAGATCATCTCTAGTTGCAGGAAAAGAAATCTCAGATGCAACCCTGAGATGTCATGAAGGACACTTTACTTGTTTCCCTCTACGTCAAATGAGGGGTGCTTTAGGTAAACCGAAAGAGTCCTACACATTTGTTGCCATATGGCTTCCAGAAACAAAAGATCCAATGCTCAGTTGTCTTGGAGGCTTTTGCTAGGCAGATCTGGCCTTCAATTATATCTGTGTCAGGAAATTACAACTTTAGAATATCTCACCTGGATCACTTGGCAGTCGTCTCAGTCCCCGTTCTGGATGGTACCATAACTAATTGTTGTTTTCAGTCGTATTAGTCATCAGAGTTATCGTATTCCTTTATAGCAGGCCTGTCCAACCTGCGGCCCTCCAGATGTTGCTGAACTACAACTCCCATGATTCTTTTAATGAAACAGCCAGGGAATCATGGGAGCTGTAGTTCAGGAACATATGGGGGGCCGCAGGTTGGACAGCCCTGCTTTAAGCAGCAGATGCGGTGTTTAAAATAATTGTTACAAAATTGCCTTTTGAATGTGAAATATACTAGATAATGGTCATTTTTGCATAATGGTTTAAAAACAAAACAATGTGGTTATTTGCTTGTAATTTGCAGGCAAGAGTAAATGATGCAACCGGATTTATCCATTCCCATCTATCTTTAATAGAAGTAATTTTAAATAACTGGAGTTCTGCAAACTGTATACAAATGGTTTTTCTCTCCTTATTATAAAGGTAGGGATGCGTTGACGGTTTTATTACCAGTGTATTAATGTTAAACTCTTTCTGCTCTTGTACAAATAATCTGTTAAAATGTTATGCAATGCTGTCACTAATGATTTGGTTGAATATGAAGTATGACGGTACTTGTACACCAGAGAAACAGCATTTTGCCTTTAAAGTAGAATTTAGAATAAATGTGATCAATATGACTGGGCAACATTACGCAACTTGGTAGCCAGGAACTAAAATTTTTGAAGTACCATATTAGCACTGAAAAGTGATATATCTGGCTTTTTTTCACCCATTTGGGTCACATTACTGTTCTTGTAATGTTGCAAATATTTACAAAATAGCTTAACAGAATTTTTTTCCATTTCAACCACCCGGGCCTAAACTTTTAAATTCTCTTGCATTCTCACAATTCACACATCTATGAATAACACTGTTAGTAACGCAATCATAATTATTCACTAAAATGGCAAAGTGAATTTCAGTTTCATAATAGCTGAAATGAATAAATTCACCAAGCCAACAATGTTTCCATTTAGCACTTAAATTTGAAATTTACGTTGAATTCCTGGCAGTTCTAACTCTAGTAAATAACTCTGTCTTGTTGACCTTTTAAAGACCACTATTACAGGCACTGTTTGACTTCAAGTGTTGTGGTGTCTTATCTCACAACCCATCTCCCTGCTTATTATGTGATCTTATGGAAAGTACATGGGAAACACTTTGGGTAGTATTGTAAGGTGTATGTGGAACAGGGTAACAAGTTAGGTTACTTTTCACATGCCAACATCACTATCATTATCTGTGCAAAGGAAAACAAATCTTTGATGGGAATTGAGAAGCCAAAGTTTATATACCTAATTTTCTTATAGACAATAATCTGAATTTTTAGAAAGTGTTCTTTCTCCTGATTGGGATCTATGGTTTTGTTCTTTAAATGCAAATGAACAAGATACCTGTTAAATTATTAAATTGCTCTTAGCCTGTTAACGATTGCATAAACAAATTGATTAAGGTGATACAGCATTGCAATGTGTATATTTGTAATAGAACATGACACCGTATTATAAATGTAGCTATAACGCTACTTAATCAAAATATTTATAGCATTGGAAATTAAATTCTGTGGTTTTATTAAACATGTTTTTGTTACATTCTGGAATTCCTGTTTTTTTTTTTTTTTTTTTTAAAGCCATTTCTAATTAATTTACTGGAGATTACACACAATGCATACTTATTAAAATGGTATTCCCATTGATCGTGGGGAAGTGATATTTCCGAGTTTTTAATCAATGCAGCACATAAAAGTAGCTATTACTTTTAGCTATTAAATGTTTAACAGAATTGTATTGTGATGTAACAGCTGCCATATAAAAAAGGCCCCTTATTAAAGGCTCTGTTTAACGCTTAGCAGCTTAAATTTCCTATGACTTCTATTTGACTTCAAACAAACTTATTGGACATACTTCAGTTGAGAAAAAACAAGTGTTTTTTTCAGACACAAGGAATAATGGAATTATGATAAAAAATATTTGCATAAAGAATATGCACTTACCACATTTGGTGCAAAGATAAACTGAGTTTATATATACTTTTGCCTCCTGGTTAACAATTACCAGTATGTAACAGAAGTGCTTACGGGGATAAATATATAGAAAAAACCTCAAACCAAAAGACACACTAGCGTTAATTTCCAAATTAAAATCAGATCAATCTACACTATTATATACATTCTTTATTCAGATAACCCAAATGTTGTTAAAACGTAGGAATAAGCCCAGTGTAGTTTGCAATGTTAGTAGTTGATGCTGTCAATTTATTTGGGCATTTTAATACCTCATCAGTTCAAATGCTCTATGAATTTTATACTGAATGGTGAATTATTTAAATAAGGGACACTCTAAGCACCAGAGCTTAATGTAGCGATGTCAACATTCGTCCCCAAGGCCACTTCTCGTGCAATCCTGCAATGCGTCGCTATGATGAGTGCATGCGCATTAGCTCCCCAATTGTTCCCTTTGCAGAAGCATTGGATGACATGATCAGTAATAACATCAATCAGATGAGGTGAGACCAGCACACCAGGAGCCTAAAAGTATATAGAACTCACAGTTTTTTTGTTAATTACACGTTCATTTTGGCTAATTTGGTTTAAAATTTGAAATTCACTCTACATACATGAAAATGTACACATTACTCATACACAATACGGGTTATTCAGTAAAGAAATAAAAATAAAAAAAAATGAAAAAGGGGCTTTTCTACACAATTCCTTTTTTACAACAGGTCAAGAACATTCCCCTGGGCTCTAAGCACTGAATAACCAAAATGTAAATAGTATACCAGTATTAATTCAAACCTGTCATGAGTGTCCAGAATGTAGGCACAAAAGGACCATAGCATGAATGTAACTCAAGAGCAGGCGTATCATAAAAGATCAACAACCATTGAAAAGCTCAAAAACTGTTTTCATGTTTGCTAACAAAGACATTAAAAATATGTACATTATGGAACACAATCTTATGAAAAAAATAAATGTGCACAAATTAAACGGACACTATAGTCACCAAGACCACGTCAGCTCAATAAAGTGGTCTGGGTGTCAGGTCACTCTACGGTTAACCCTGCCTGATGTAAACATAGCAGTTTCAGAGAAACTGCTATGTTTACATTTGGGGTTAAGCCAGCCTCCAGTGGCTGTCTTCCGGACAGCCACTAGAGGCGCATCTGCGACGCTGGAGGCATTTAATGCCTCCATCACGCAGAGCGTCCATATGAAAACATTGAAAAATGCTTTCCTATGGACACTTTGAATATGCGCGCAGGACTGCCGCGCATTCTGCTCCGCTGACGTCAGGCGGGGGAGCTGACGGCGTGGGAGGAGAGGTAAGGGAGCCTGGCGGTGGAAGAAGGTGAGTAACTGAAGGGGTTTTAACCGATTTGTTTTCCTGACACTATAGTGATCCTTTAAGGAAGGGAGGGTATGAAAAATAAAGGACCTATACATTATCCATAGCTCTCCATCTCATTTAAGCATGGTGGAAGGTGATGGTTTGGGCCGATAGATATGGACAGTATCCGATAAAACGGACTAACATCTCTTTATTGAAAATATATAAACAAAGCAAGGGAAACTTCTTAAGGATTCCTATGCTAACAATAGTGGGCACTTAAGTGCATGGCTTCTATTTGTGTATGCTAAAACAGAAATCTGCTTGTATTAATGTCTGACAATAAATTATAATTGATCTCAGGTAGAGTGATTCATTGAATTTTGGGTGTCTAATTGCTGGGAAACAATTATGGAAATTTAATTGTGAATGTCTATAATGGGACATCTCAGTTAGTGATATATGGGACTACAGAATATGTTGTCTTTAGAATAAAAATTACATTAATTAGCCTTTCTAATGATCAATGCAGTCAACACTGAAAAAGCAAGTATCTGCACATTACTGTAGACAGCTCCATCACTGTCCAGTTAAAGTTAAGCTAACTCATCCACATACAAACTTGCAAATCTATTGCCAACATTAATATTGGACTGGCTGCCTGTTTGTGTTCTTCCACTGGTATTCTCTGCAGGTTTGCCTGCTGTTTTTGCCTTCTTAGGTTTGCCTGACTTTGATTTAGATTTGCTCTGAAAATGATCTGGAGGTAAAGACGACATAGCAGCTTGTATCAAGCTGCGGTACAGTTTGTCCAGTATAGGGGAAGAATTAAACAGGTCTTCTGTTGAAGATAATGTTTTCAGTTTATGGCACAGTTGGTGAACAAGAGGTCCATTGTAGATCCTGATCAAGAAAAACACAGATTGGAATTAGGATGAAATACTTTGTAAACCAAACAGTTATAAAATGCAAAACGATATAAATGAAAATCAAACCAACAACTGGGTGGATCAGAAGTGTTTCTGGGCCATCGTAGCAACAATAAGTCATGTTTCACGAGAGAATTAGATTTATCCTTATTTAAATGCTTGCCAGTTTTAAATAGTGTGCAAAGCATTGTATGTGCCCCATGGCTTCAAACACATAAGAAGATGATGCTGCCACTTAACACTGTATAATGTTATTACAGAAGTATCATCCTTGTACTTACCATCGCCACACGCTTCATAAATGTTTATTAAGGCGAATAAAGAAGAAATGAACTTAAACAAAACAGGTGGTGTTTCCTCTTACAATGCCATCCAATTAACAATTCTAGTACCTTAGCGTCTACAAACTATAATATACAACAAATACATTTAGTAGATAATCTATCTTTGAATGCATTAAGTAGCACAGGTATTCTATGCCAACATCACATGATTCATTATTGATTAATTGCAGGAAATCGGAAGAGGATTAGGTATATACTTTAACAACAGTATTTCTATCACAATCCCACAGTTTGGAAAAAATAGGTTTTTAAAGCATTTTAAAAAATGTATAACAGTTACTCCAAGCATTATAAGCCTTATAGCCAGCTCGCTGTAGTGTTATGATGGTAGAAGTAGCCTGGTCATATTCTTTGGTAATGGGGCAAACTATTCTATGATGGTTTTCCGTGATACCTGGATCCCCACTGGGCCTCCTTGAGGCAGGAATAACAACAGTTTAATTTATTGCCCAAGAGCATAAGCTGGGTGCTCTCAGCAAATGAATGGCATTATGTGCCTAAAATTATGCACAAAACTGGCCAACGTCAGCCTTGAACTCTAGCTCCGGGCTGGCTAATATCGCCCAATGATGCTGTCAGACACTAACGCTGCACATACAGATTTTGATAGCAGGAACTGCACATACAGACTCCAGTCAGCGTGACCACTTCAAATCAGTAAAGTGGTCAATGTGCCCCTATGGTCGCTTTGAACGGTCATTTATAATCATTATTTATACAGAGTCCTTATGACATTAAGTGAGTTTATTTTTGGTAATTGCAACCTTCAATTGATAGTAGTACCAACTATACGACAACCATAGTTATATGAAAAGCGTAGGATCTCCATTCTCGGTATCCCTGGTTTAAGTTACTAGAAAGGTAATGATCCGAAACCTGAAGATTTCTTGCAAAAGTCATGAACTTTAAATGTATCTTTTTTTTAATCTCACTATTTTAGAATGGTTGATTTTGTGTAATGCTGAATGACCTTTACATATAATACATTTTAAAAATGGTTATTTCTAGATTGTTCCTTTAATCAAATTATCCAAATTTGGTTATTGTCAGAGTTCACCACAAAGCAAGACAATGGATATTATAAGACCATAAGCGTAATTAAGTTAATAATACAAATAACATAAAAAGCATTTTCCCACACCTGGTTATATCAGGTTCTTGCAGTGGTGTACACAGGAGTTGATTAAAATGCAGGCCGGTCTGGAAGCAGCATTGCCACTGGCAGAATATATGAAGATCTTCTACATTGGGACCAGCTTCATGTCCATGACGACGTCGTCCACATTGTTGTCCTTTCTTGAGGTTTCTCAATTTCTCATACACTAGTCGTATGTCCTCACCATGCAACTCTGAATTAGAAACAAAAATAATTAGAAGATTCCGATGTATTGCAAATCTGTTATTGTACTAATCAGTATATTGTAGTTCATGAAATAACCAGACACCGTAGTGAAAGACAAAACTGAACTGAAAGGATATTGAAAGTTTACACCAAGCACCATGACCACTTCAGTGATTTGATACCTCTTGTCGAGTCATAAGCAACCCAGAATGCTAAATCTGTGTATTAAAGGCAACCGTCATCAACAAGCACATCATGTTTTTTTGTTGGAGTAACTCTATAAAGCAAAAGAATGTTATTTCACTTTAAAGGGCTTCTCTAAACACCATGACCACTTCAGTGATTTGAAGTGGTCATGTTTGCTAGTGTCTGTATGTGCAAGGTTTTGCTATGAAAAGCTGCACAGAGATTAACCTCTTTACTTCCAGAGGTGTAACTCCACCTCTAGCAGCATCATTAAGGAACAAGAGTTCCTGGATGGCTAATGTCAATTCTGTGTAACGTTCCATGTATAGTGCTGGCCAATAAATGGCATTCGACTTCTGCAGTTCTGTAAAATCAGGATGTTTTAAATACTGTTTTAGAGCTAAACAGGGTAAGAGGTAAATCGTTGCTAAATGGTTTGCCTCTTTACCACGTGTCAGGGTACTCCTAGCTTCATAAACACAACAGCGGTAGTAGTTATAGTGGTAACTGTACTGGTTAAAATGCTTGAATTAACCCGTTACAGGGATACTGCACGCACCATATCAACTTATGCTCCATGCATACAACTGGTGTGACCAAGTTCCAAGTCCTAGGTAGGTATGTAAGTATGATCTCTAAGTCTGTATAGTTGCTGCTGATTATGTTAGTAGGAAGTGCTTATGGAATTTAAATATTCACCTTAGCTGAATTAGTATTATCCATACCTGTTGCTGATAATAGGTCCTTTAAGGTTTACTGAAAATCAATCACTGTAAACATTTTGCTGGATTTACTAAGAATCACTCACCACTTTAATCATATTGCTGGCAAGCTAAAATTTACTTTTCATGTTGATGCATTTTCATTTGTCGCAGTGTAGTCCAATCTCTAGGCCGGATACATGTATCAAGAGTTTTGCACCACTCTATTTCTTTGTGAATACCCTGTAATCCTTATTGTTTAAAATAATGTTATAGGACAAAATTCCCCATATGCTTCTGAATAATTAGCCTTCTCTCCAAAATTCATTTTGTTAACAGTTCTACTTTGGGCCAGTTACAAGAAGAGAAACATTTCTATGAAATCGTAAGAGCTTAGCATTGCTTAAATTTGGTTTTGCATACAAACCTGGTTTAGTCATCATTTCACATGCCTCTCCATATACAAGTCCCATTACTAGTGCCTTCAAGTGGTGCTGCCTCACTTTGGAACTGGAATTAGCAACCCAGTAACAGGTGGTGGCAATTGTAAGGCGATGAGCAGGGGGCACAGATTCTAGTGTGCTCATCTTCACACCAAAGGTGACCACAAACATCGATAAACGAGTTTCCAAAGAGACCTAAGAAGAAATGATTAACATTATATTTGCATTCACTCCAAAAGAAAAAAAGCACCAGCACAAGTGAATGTCAGATGCATACTGTTGTAAAAGCTCTTAATCTCCCCCTTCCAATGATGAATATGTGGTGAGCAGTAGATGTACTTCTATTAACCCCTTAAGGACACATGACGTGTGACATGTCATGATTCCCTTTTATTCCAGAAGTTTGGTCCTTAAGGGGTTAAAGCACTGCTCAGTTCTGCACAGTGGTTTCTGAAAAACATTTAGCTCTCTAGACCAGAGGGACAAAACTGTTTAACATGAATCCATGTAATCTGTGATGAAGAATATCTGACCCTATTTAGATGGTATATTGAGACTACACTTTGTAAAGTAACAAATCCAAACCACATAAAACAGCAGATAATCTATATGTCTGAAAGCTGAAAACCACAAGGAATGGAGAAAGAGTTAATGCAGAGTCAAGTTTGTGGGTTACCTTTATTGCAATAGATCCCAATGTGTTTTGGTATTGTGCAATAAACAGATCTGACCCTCATAGCAACTCCAGTGTTCAGGGTAACATAGGGTACTCAACGCTTCAAGAAGTTCCTCAGATTCCCAGACGGGCATATGGGTCAGCTTGGCGAGCATGGGCTGGCTGGTGCATGGCTGGAACGCGGATCCCCTTTCGGCCTCTGTAACAGTGATCCTGCAATTTCCGACGTCCCTCTTCGAGGCTGGAAAGGCTTACAGGACTATCAACCTTTACCGGTCTGCCATCTCGGCGATTCACCAAGGCTTCGATGGATGCCCCGCGGGACAGCACCCCTTAGTGTGCCGACTCCTCAAGGGTTCTCGATTCTCACGACCACCCAGGCCTCGCTATTCCACGACCTGGGACGTCTCCATTGTGTTGGCTTTCTTCTTATCCTGGCCCTCTAACTCAGGGCTCTCCCTAAAACAGCTATCTGCCAAATTGGTTTGCCTGCTCTGCCTCGTCTCATGCAAGAGGGTCTCGGACGTCAGAGCCCTGGATTTCGATGCCAGGTCATATATCCAGGTCATGCCGGGGTCACATTCAGCCGGCGGACTAAGACTTCTATCAAATCGGTATCCTACCCTAGTTTCCCTACCTCTCCGTCACTGTGTCCAGTGGCTTGCCTACGCGAACACAAAACTCGCACCAACTCCCATCGCTCCGCCACCTCTCCACAGTTATTCTTATCATTTCGCCCCCTTTTCCACCCGGTTTCTAGCACAACCTTGTCACGATGGGTGAAATGGCTGTTGTCCCAGGCAGGTATTGATACCACGGTCTTTGGCGCCCATTCAGTCCGGGGGGGACCTCAGCCTCTTCGATGATGACTGCAGGTGCGCGCCTGGAGGACATTATGAGGACGGCCGACTGGTCAAGGGAGTCTACATTCCGGGAGTTTTACTTTCGCCCGGCCCCACATACATTCTCTGTGGTAATGGATCAGCTTTAAACTTGCAATATGAGCCTTGTTAAAAAATTACATGATTTTGCTATTACATGACGAAAAGTCATGATTTTATTAAAGACACGGAGGCGAGTATTGTCACACCCTTCTTATTCTTACACAGTTATAATAATTTTTCCCTCCCAGGTTAATACACACTACAATACACCACATCGAATGGTTTTTGTATGGTAAGTGGGGCCATACTGCGAGAATGAGGTTTATGTAACGTAATGGTAAATCACTCTTTTTGTGGGACTGTGCATATGTGGGTTATTTCTCACCCGTTTAACCTTGAAACTAGTTGCAAGTATCGATTTTAACCTGTCGGCTCCTGTTACTTTATGTTTTCACAGCTTAATTCGACAAGAAGGCAAGCAGTCATCCAGCTTAGGAGGACTCCCCCCGCTGTTATCCGGTGGTCCTATGAATCCTATGGTCAAGCTTCCCAGTTGTTGATGTTCTACCCTCTTCAGTTATAAGTTGTAACCTGGGGACCTTTTTCTCACAATTCCTGGTTTGGACATTTTTTACCTTGGTCGCATCTTCAGAAAGAGGGAAATGGAAGGGAAGTGCTGCCTATTATACTGGGACCTGAGCGGGGAGGGGCCTATGTTACTGTATGTTCATTATTTTTCATTCTGTTTGTATTCTTTGCTGCTATTGGTGGACAGTAAAGAAAGGGGTATGCAATACTCGCCTCCGTGTATTTAATAAAATCATGACTTTTCGTCATGTAATAGCAAAATCATGTAATTGTCCTCATGAAAAGCGTGAGGACATCATTTCATGGAGTCAAACTCTGTGAAACAGCAGGAAGTCCTGGTAGGCAGTCTAACCCTGCAATATAAGTATTGAAATTTCTCTAAAACTGCAATGTTTGCAGTTGCAAGTCTATGGGGACAGACACTGCACCCAGACCACTTCAACGAGATGAAGTGGTTTAGGTGCCTATAGTGTCTCTTTCAACCCCAACAGTCGAATACTCATTTTAATGTTACCTTAATGAAGCGTTCTAAAATGCTGGGGGAACCTTATAACATATAAAAGCTTCACAAACCACCTAATTCTAAGGCAAAAGAAGCATGTCATACTATCTGTTATTGCATTAGTGCATAAACAATACAAATCCTGCTTCTTTATGCTAGGACAGGGATAGGCAACCTTTGGCACTCCAGATGTTGTGGTCTACATCCCCATAATGCTCTTACACCCATAATGCTGGCAAAGCATCATGGAAGATGTAGTCCAAGACATCCACAGTGCCAAAGGTTGTCTATGCCTGTCCTAGGAAATTCTAAGAGAAGAAACAGAGGCAAAGTCTAGGAGAGGTAAAGAATAGACAAGAATACAATACAAAAGAAGAGGATAGGTACAGGAGGAAGAAGACAAGGTCATAAAATATTGGCCCTATCTTGCATATCCCTTTACAGCATGTATATAATAATGGCTCCACTGTTGGCTTACCTCTGGTAGTTTCTGCAATGAGAGATCTTCACTAAATTCTCTTGACATGATAATTGCTTCAACACTTGTTTTCCTCAAATGGTTTTCTAGCCTATCAAACTCCTCTATGTAGAATTTTCCAGACTGCTGTGTTTCATGACTGGCTATGCTATCATGGTAGAAGTTCAAAATCAGCCCATACATAACCTGGCGGATTGGTTGTGTTATCATGTGAGCAGATGCCCGCCTCATATCTTCAACTTGAACATGAAGAAATGTCCTCCTAAGCAGTAGAACATCACTAATCATCGGTGCCAGCAGTCCTTTTGCTAAGGCAATTTGAACCCAATCTGGCAAGTTCAGCTTGATTGCGGTTGAGGAGAAATAAGAACCTTTGTTGAAAAAACATGCGAGGTTTTGGACATCATGCAAATCATAATCTGCCATGGCTAATGTCAGGAATTCACGGACTGCATCACGATCCTGTTCCCGAAGCTTATTCATCACATAAATTATAGCTTCCTCTGCACTGGCAAAAGCAGGCAGCCAGTCTAACAGATAATGAATGTGTCCATGTTTTTTCCCACTATATTTCCGGCTGCCTATACATGAATGTATTTTGCTAAAAATCTTCTCCAAAGCTGTGGTATTCATGTAATCATTCCCAGCTAGCGTAGCAAAAAGAGGAAGCAAAGACATGTTTATATTAAAGTAATTACAAAAATACTTCGCTGAGAAACATTTTGCTGGTATATAAGAATCATTTTCACTGGTCGAAGGGTTGATATTCCTCCACTGAAAGTAAGAAAATGGGCAGTAACCAGCATTCAAGTCAAAAATACAGAAATCACTATCTAAGGTCAGTACAGGACAATCCAACACATTGGCCAATGCTGCTATATCTTGGTCAGCTTCAGAGAAACACTGAACAAAGTTCACTTGCAGCTTTGTCAAGACCTTTATGAAAACATCCCTCACCATCAGGGGCAGTACCTGGCCACTTTCCCCTTTAGAGAGACTTTGAGCCTTTCTGATCCTCTCCTTCATCCGTTGCTTTTGTGTCTCAAGCTTTTTGTCCGATATGTCACATCCACCATCAAACACAACATACGCATTAATTTCACACCTCGACAAACTTTCAAAGAATTTGTATATAAGATTAGTGAAGGAATCATAATTACCACCATGTACTTGTTCCAAGCCAGAATCTAAGTACAATTTGTGGTAAAGATTATTACCGTCGATAACTAGTTTAGTGCTTCTCAACTTCAGATCAGTTAACAGATGTATGTTAGACCCTAAAAAGCTTGTAAGTCCCTGAACACCCATGCTGACAATCAATGAGATGAGATCTGAAAAAGAAAAATATAAAAATGTAAAATATGAAAAGAAATACTAATTTCAAACACAACTGCTGGAAATGATGTTCTACGCACATGTTTTACACACTGAATTTATGTTTATATATTCTGCACAACCTTTATAATGTTATAACTAGGAAAAATCCCAGTTAAACAATCAGTTTCTACCGATTTAATTATTGAATTCAGGTGGTTCTCAGCTCCAGGATAATATTATTATATTTTAAAAGAGCTTAACATTATCATTGCGAGTTTCACGCAAGGTAATTTTAGGACAATGTACTATTTTAGGACACAGAGAAACATTAAAGGGATACTATAGGCACCAAAACAACTTTAGCGTAATGAAGCAGTTTTGGTATATACATCATGCCCCTGTAATCTCATTGCTCTATTCACTGCTATTTAGGAGTTAAAGGGACACTCCAGGCACCAGACCACTTCTGCCCATTGGAGTGGTCTGGGTGCCAACTCCCACTACCCTTAACCCTGCAGCTGTAAATATTGCAGTTTTCATAAACTGCAATAATTACATTGCAGGGTTAACTCCTCCTCTAGTGGCTGTCTACTAGACAGCCACTAGAGGGCACTTCCTGGTTTCTAGCACAGGTTTTCTCCAGCGTTGCTCAATTCCCCATATGAAAGCATTGCGCATGTGCATTAGGTCTCCCCAGCCGGCGGCTGCGCATGCGCGTTCGGTCTCATCCGCCGGATGATGTTGGCTAGGGAGGAGCGTGGGCGGACGCGAAACCACCGCCGAGGGACATCAGCGGGGTCTCAGGTAAGTCACTGAAGGGGTTTTCACCCCTTCAGCAACATGGGATGGGTGGTGGGAGGGCGAGGGTACCTGCAGTGCCAGACTGGAGTGTCCCTTTAAATCAATTGTTTATGCAGCCATAGTCACACCTCCCCTGCATGTGATCTACATAGTCTCTCCACACAATTCCTGTAAAGAGAGATGTAATGCTAACACTTCCTTTAAATTTACAATCTGTTTAGTGTAGAATTTCTTATTTCCTGCTCTGTTAAAGGAACACTATAGTCACCTAAATTACTTTAGCTAAATAAAGCAGTTTTAGAGTATAGATCATTTCCCTGCAATTTCACTGCTCAATTCACTGTCATCTAGGAGTTAAATCACTTTGTTTCTGTTTATGCAGCCCTAGCCACACCTCCCCTGGCTATGATTGACAGAGCCTGCATGAAAAAAAACTGGTTTCACTTTCAAGCAGATGTAATTTACCTTAACCCCTTAAGGACCGAGGACGGTTCAGGACCGTCATCGGCATTTTTGCCTTGCCGACCGATGACGGTCCTGAACCGTCCTAACGGTCTGGGGGTACTTACCTGATCGCCGTCGTTCCCCCGGCGGCGATCAGTGTTCCTCCGGTTTCTGGGGAGACTGCCTGCAGCCCAGGCAGTCTCCCCACGGCAGATTAGGACCCCTGTGGCCATGTGATCGCTTAACACAGCGATCACATGGTCACAATAGGTGTCCATGTGTCTGCCTGCAGGGGGACTGTCTGTGCTGACAGGCAGTCTCCCTGCTTGTGTAAAATCAGAAAAAAAATAAAGTTAGTGTTAATTAAAAAAAATAATAATAATTATATATGTGTATATATGATATATAGACATATATTATATCTATATAATATATGTCTATATATCATATATATAATGTCATACTAAGTGTATTTTATATTAATATGTACTTATATTAATATAAAAATACACTTATAATTAAATTACACACGTATATATATAATATATATAATAACTATATATATTGTATATATATATTATTATAAAATATAAATAATAAGTAATTTAAATTAAATAAAATTTTTTTTAAATAATAATAAAAATTAAAAAAAAATTATATATCTATATGAAATTTTATTCTAACTGTATTTTAAAATAATATATATATATTTATATCAAAATACACTTAGAATGAATTTGTATATATATCTATGTATATAAAAATAAATAAAAATAATAAGAAATATACATACGTCCATATACAAAATTACATAAATAATTATATAAATATACATGTAGACTTCAAATATATAAATATGCATATATATTTAAATTCTACGTGCGTATTTATGTAATATTTTTACATAATTCAGTAATTTTATTGATTGCAATTTGAGGGACCTGCCTGCCAACCCAGGCCGAAATTCCAGAGAATTGAATTTGCTAGCACTGTATTTTACCCTGTAACGTTCTACGACACCCTAAAACCTGTACATGGGGGGTACTGTTTTACTCGGGAGACTTCGCTGAACACAAATATTAGTGATTCACAACAGTAAAACATATCACAGCGATGATATTGTCAGTGAAAGTTACTTTTTTTGCATTTTTCACACACAAACAGCACTTTTACTGATGATATAATTGTTGTGATACGTTTTCCAGTTTTTAAACACTAATATTTGTGTTCAGCGATGTCTCCCGAGTAAAACAGTACCCCCCATGTACAGGTTTTATAGCATTTTTGAAAGTTACAAGGTCAAATATATGGGTCAAATATTTTTACATTGAAAATGGCCAGGTTGGTTACGTTGCCTTTGAGAGCGTATGGTAGCCCAGGAATGAGAATTACCCCATGATGGCATACCATTTGCAAAAGAAGACAACCCAAGGTATTGCAAATGGGGTATGTCCAGTCTTTTTTAGTAACTACTTGGTCACAAACACTGGCCAAAATTAGCGTTCAATTTAGTTTTTTTACTTTTTTCACACACAAACAAATATGAATGCTTACTTTGGCCAGTGTTTTCGACTAAGTGGCTACTAAAAAAGACTGGACATACCCCATATTGAATACCCTGGGCTGTCTACTTTAAAAAAAATATGTACATGTGGGGTGTTATTCAGAAATTTATGACAGATAATAGTGTTACAATGTCACTATTGATAAATTTTAAAAATGTATGTTTTGAAACCGCAATATCCTACTTGTACCTATAGCCCTATAACATGCAAAAAAAAGCAAAAAAGCACGTAAACACTAGGTATTTTTAAACCCAGGACAAAATTTTGAATCTATTTAGCAGTTTTTTTCATTCGCTTTTGTAGATGAGTAAAAGATTTTTCAAGTAAAAGTCAAAAAACATGTATTTTTTTCAATTTTTCATCAGATTTTTTATTTTTTAAATTAAAATACATGAGATTATATAAATAATGGTATGTAAAGAAAGCCCCTTTTGTCCTGAAAAACAATATATAATTTGTATGGGAACAGTAAATGAAAGCGAAAATTACAGCCAAACACAAACACACCACAAAAGTGTAAAAATATTCCTGGTCGCCAAATGTACAACATCATAAAACAGTCCAGTCCTTAACCTAAAACGGGCGATACAATTAACGCCCTCTAATAGAAGCGGCTCTCGCCGCCGGGCGTAATTATGCGCCCTCCGGAGTTTCCAACTTACCGGTTGGGGGGACTCCCAGGGAGCCCCCCGCGGCACATCCGTCCTCGTTGAAGCCCCCCGGCCATGTGAGAGTGGGGTCCTAGCGAGGACCCCACAATCACATGGCCGGGGATAGCTGGCTTCTGTATTGCCGGCAGGGGGGCTGCCTGTAATGACAGGTGGTCCCCCTGCTGGCTGAAAATAAAAGTAAAAATAAGTTAATGGTGTAAAAAAAAATATTATATATACTTAGATCATATATATATATTATATATATATGATCTAATATATATATATACACACACATACACCGTCTAGGTGTATTTTACTAATAATATATATATATATTAATATCAAATTACACGTAGACTGATACTGATTAAATATATATATAATTATTGTTATATATATATTTTATATATAAATATAAAAAATAAAAATGTAAATACGTTAAAAAAATAAAAAAAAAATAATTAAAAATAAATAATTAAAAAATATATAGATGTGTGTTATTTCGTTCTAACTGTATTGTGAAATTATATATATATATATATATATCAAAATACACGTAGAACGAAATAATATATATATCTATATACATAAATATATACGTATATATCACTATATATATACCTATATATAAATAAAAATATTTTAAAAAAATTATATAGATATATACATATATATACACATACGTATATATATACATATATTAATTCTACATATATATTTATGTAATATTTTTACATAATTAGGTATCTTAATTAATTACAATTAGCAGGACCTGCCTGACAACCCATGCCGAAAGTAAAGGGAATTTAATTTGCTAGCACTATATTTAACCCTATAACTTTCCAAGACACCATAAAACCTGTACATGGGGGGTACTGTTCTACTCGGGAGACTTCGCTGAACACAAATATTAGTGTTTCAAAACAGTAAAATGTATTACAGCGATGATATCGCCAGTAAAAGTGACGTTTTTTGCATTTTTCACGCACAAACAGCATTACACGGACAATATTATTGCTGTGATACTTTTTACTGTTTTGAAACACAAATATTTGTGTTCAGCGAAGTCTCCCGAGTACAACAGTACCCCTCATGTACAGGTTTTATGGTGTTTTCAAAAGTTACAGCGTCAAATATAAGGCTTGCGTTTCATTTTTTTCACATTAAATTATTCGCCAGATTGGTTACGTTGCCTTTGAGACCCTATGGTAGCCCAAGAATGAAAATTACCCCTATGATGGCATACCATTTGCAATAGTAGACAACCAAAGGTATTGCAAACAGGGTATGTCCAGTCTTTTTAGTAGCCACTTAGTCACAAACACTGGCCAAAATTGGCGTTTTTTGCATTTTTCACACACAAACAAATACTAACGCTAACTTTGGCCAGTGTTTGTGACCAAATGGCTACTAAAAAAGACTGGACATACCCCATTTGCAATACCTTGGGTTGTCTACTATTGCAAATGGTATGCCATTATGGGTGTAAATTTCATTCCCGGGCTACTATACAGTCTCAAAGGCAACGTAACCAATCTGGCGAATTTCAATTTCAAATGTAACGTGCTATATTTGACCCTGTAACTTCCCAAAACGCCATAAAACCTGTACATAGGGGGTACTGTCTTACACGTGAGACTTTACTGAATACAAATATGTGTATTTTATTGCAGTAAAAGCAAACAGTATTATGACACTGACCTTTAAAATGTCATGTAGAACTAAAAAAATCAAAAAAATCGTATTTTCTCCCATTTTTTTCATATTAAATTATGTTTCATAGCTAAATATTTGATATTAAATGAAAGCCCTGTTTCCCCTGAATAAAATGATATATAATAAGGGTGGGTGCATTTACTATGAAAGAGGTGTATTACGGTTGGACAGACATGTAGCGCAAATGCCAGGTTTTGTTTACATTTTGTTTTGTTCACAATGTGTACATTTGGCTCCGTCCTTAAGGGGTTAAGGGGTTAAATAATTGTATCTCAGTCTCTAAACTGAACTTTAATCACGTACAGGAGGCTCTTGAAATGTCTAGCAAGCTATTAACATAGCAGGGGATAAGAAAATCTTAATTAAACAGAACTTGCAATAAATAAGCCTAAATAGGGCTCTCTTTACAGGAAGTGTTTATGGAAGGCTGTGCAAGTCACATGCAGGGAGGTGTGACTAGGATTCATAAACAAAGGGATTTAACTCGTAAATGGCAGAGGATTGAGCAGTGAGGCTGCAGGGGCATGTTCTATACACCAAAACTGCTTCATTAAGCTAAAGTTGTTCAGGTGACTATAGTGTCCCTTTAATAGCCTGCTAGTGTCTCATGTGTGTGATTCAAGTTTGATTAGTAGCGCAGGAAATAAAAACATCTAAAGTAAGAAAGATCTGCAAGCATTTTTTCATGAAAGCTGTGTTACTCAAAGCCAGGGAAGGTGGGGCTAGGGCAGCATAAACACAATTGATGTAACTCCTAAATAGCAGAGGATGAATCCGTGAGACTGCAGGGACATGATCTATACACCAAAACAACAACCAGTCCTGCTACTGAATGTTCCACTCAGTGGAGCTAAACTCAAGAGGTGGGCAATTGCGCAAAGCACCTGCCTTGTAAAAACTTCTCATTGAGCTGCATTATGAAGCCTGCAATTGGACAGCCACAGATAGTGCGGGCTGGGTTAGAAGGCAAGGACTTGCAAAGGATACAGTTAAAAGATCTGTAGCTTTTGCAAACTGTTCTTGGATATATCCACAATGAAAAATGCATAATTAAAGGACCACTATAGTGCCAGGAAAACATACTCTTTTTCCTGGCACTATAGTGCCCTGAGGGTGCCCCCATCCTCAGGGCTCTGGGGAGAGGAAAGGGGTTAAATCTTAACTTTCTCCAGCGCCAGGCGGGGAGCTCTCCTCCTCCTGGGCTGAATGCGCATGCGCAGCAGGAGCTGCGCGCGCATTCTCTCATAGGAAAGCATTTAGAATGCTTTCCTATGGACGCTTGCGTGTTCTCACTGTGAAAATCACAGTGAGAAGCACGCAAGCGCCTCTAGCGGCTGTCAGTGAGACAGCCACTAGAGGCTTTGAGGGCTGGATTAACCCATTTATAAACATGTTTATAAAAAAAATGGGTAACCCTAGCTGGACCAGGCACCCAGACCACTTCATTAAAGGACCACTCTAGGCACCCAGGCCACTTCAGCTTAATGAAGTGGTGTGGGTGCCAGGTCCCTCTAGGATTAACCCTTTTTTTTTTTTATAAACATAGCAGTTTCAGAGAAACTGCTATGTTTATAAATGGGTTAATCCATCCTCCAAATCCTCTAGTGGCTGTCTCATTGACAGCCGCTAGAGGCGCTTGCGTGATTCTCACTGTGAAAATCACAGTGAGAAGACGCAAACGTCCATAGGAAAGCATTATGAATGCTTTCCTATGAGACCGGCTGAATGCGCGCGCAGCTCTTGCCGCGCGTGTGCTTTCAGCCGAATGGGAGGAGAGCTCCCCACCCGGCGCTGGAAAAAAGGTAAGTTTTACCGCTTTTCTCTCCCCAGAGCCGGGCGGGAAGAGGACCCTGAGGGTGGGGGCACACTCAGGGCACTATAGTGCCAGGAAAACTAGTATTTTTTCCTGGCACTATAGTGGTCCTTTAAGCTGAAGTGGTCTGGGTGCCTAGAGTGGTCCTTTAAAGGCATACAGGCTTCCATTGGGGATATATCTACTAAAGAGCAATTTGTATTTCATTTTTTTTTTTTTATTTGGGCATTGGAGTGTTCCTTTCGGCTAACATTGTTTTGGTCCATACAGTATCCCTTTAAACAGGAAATTTGATTCGGGCATTGGAGTGTGAGACAATTTGATTTATTATCCATAAGCTTAAGAATTACATTGATAATGCACATGTCAATTCCCTGTTTTTTTTCTAGCAGTCCATTTCGGCTGCATTTATATTTGCAAAGCCAGGACCTGTCTACCACTCACAGAAGTTGATTATGCTTTTTTTTTTCACTAAATACCTATTTCAATTTAATTTTGATAACTAAAACCTGCTTAGAAGACGTTTGAAAAATTTAATTTTCATTAGGCTGGCATCAAGAGAGATTTAGTGCTAAATGTTACCCATTATTGCCCCTAGGACAGTTCTCCCCAAATATTGTTTAACTACAACTCCCATGATGCTCTACCGTGCTTAAGGCTGACAAAACATCCTACCAGGGACAGAAGCATATATCACATGGTTCTGTACCATCATGTCACATGTATTTCCTTTTTTACCTTGACGCGTGTTAAAGCAGCAGAAACATGTATTCTGCAGTTCCAGGGATCATTATTATGCCTTTGTTTAAATCCACTGAGCTGCCTGTCTCCCAGCATACAATATCCCTAAGGTGTACCAGCATGGCTCTCAGAGTACACACTACGTCCGGATGCGGAAGTAAAACGAGCCGTGTCCCATACGTCTTGCGCTACACTAGTGCCAGTAAAACCATGAACGAAGGTTCCTGCTTGTGACAGCACGTTGTCATGGATACAGAACTGTAAACAAATATTACAAGATTACAAGAAGCGTGCAGGTTCCATATACTGAGGATCCCCGGGTACCTCTACCACTTGTCTGCCAGTAGGGGTAAGGATGGGCAATTTATTAGTCATGCCAAGTGCTAATGGGATTTATTCCAGACATACTGTATTAAATGAAGAATTATTATACAGTGTGACACGTGCATGCCGCAGTCTAGTTTGTAAATAATGCTTAAATAATAACAATTTATAGAGTTGTAGGGATGGACAGATCTAGGCAAAAATTTACAAAATGTGACTACAGTATAGTGGAGTTGAACCATTTTTTTTGCAAAATCAGCATTTTTTTGCCTGAATTATGCAGTTTTTAAATCATTATATTGTGAGGTTATATGTCAATTACATTACATTACATATCAAGTATTGCCTATTCATTCTTCTCTTTGGAACAATGTCATCTACTAAAAAAGTTACACGTAATTAAAGGGTTACTCCAGCCCAAAAAAGTAGTGTTGAAACCACTGGTTTTGGTTAGAGTGACCTTTCCAATCCAAGTCCCCCCAGTCAAAGTTTATTTATTTATTTTAATTGCTTACTATTATCTCAGTGCCAAGGAAAAGATCTCCCTTCAGCACAATACTGCTCCGGTCACGTCAATACCCCTAGCTGCTGGGAGGATGTAAGGTAAAGGGTTGACTTAGGGTAGGACATGTGCGGCACAGAGACTGGGGCCATGCCATTGGACACCTGTCGTTAGCATCCTTTGCGTGGTGATAACAGAGGTCCAATATGCACAGCATTTTTATTAGCCAGCCCAGAGATCCTGTTCCAGTCTGGCTAATGGCACAAAATTACGCTATCGGATGTGAATTTATTCATCTGGCAGCAGAGGAGTTAAACTAAATATGGGCAGCACCTTATATCAAAACACTGCGCATACAAACTCCAGGCACCATGACCACTTCAGATCTCTCAAGTGGTAAAGGTGTTTGGTGTAACCCTTTAAATTATTCAAAAATATGAACGTAGAAATTTGCCAGACATTTTTCTGCATGCAAGAACTATTTGTCCCCTGAAACGTAACATGAGCCATTTAGGAAAATAGGATGGGTAATATCTCCCACAGGATAAACAGGATAAAACTGGGATTTTATTTAAATTTTTTATTAGTATTCAACACCTTAAATCCTACAACGGGGACAATATTTTCCATGTATGGAAACTTACTATTCCCTTGATAAAATGCAAATCTTGAGGAAATCTGTTTTTGTTTGTGTTTGTTTTGCCAAAATGTAAACATAGTTAGTAAAATTGCAGAAAGTCCTGCTTGACAAAAAATGGAGCTCGCGTTTTCATCCCTGTGAGCACACTGGCTATAATCTGTTTTTAGTATGTAAAGAAAATCTTCAATAAGGAATATATTAATGCAGAAATGTTTTTGTTTGTTTTTAAATAAAACATGTTTATCCTTGATTTATCCAACTTTATATTATTTAATGGAGTATTAAGATTATATATATATACTTTTAAATATATATATATTTTTTAAATGCTGTACATTACTTGTAAAATATTTCAGCTCATTTTGGAAATGCATGATAGCATAAACATTTGTTTTGTAATGGCAATAACAGAATTTACTTTTCAAATGGGTACCAACAAATGTATATTATCATAAAGTTGAATTTAGATTGTGCTGATTTCCTTAGGTTTATTCACTGAACAAAGAACTGTAGTGAGTTCTGGCATCCCAAGAGTCCTGGTTTTGGCAGGAAAGGACACTGTCCTGACTTTGTTCCCTAGAGTACTGCCTTTGGGGACAGAAAAAAAGCATAGTTTGAGTGCATCATTAGACGCGCTACGCTAAGGGCACTAGGAGTATTCAGAGAGCATTAAAACAGTCAATGGTGTGTCACTGGCCCCACCACCTAGTACCCCCGTCTACTAGCGTCCAACTTTACGCTTTGTTGATGTTGATATTTGTGGCGAAACCGACCTCGCCACTGGGCATTGGAGAAGACTGATTGCCAGCCTCCTGCCATGTGACTATGGCCCGTGAGCTGTATTGCCCTTTAAAGACATTATTTGGGCTTATTGGATTTTGAAACACTTTTTCTGCCCATTTGATACATGAGAAGATGTGCCCCTCCCCTGTTTCCTGTCTATTGTTCTCGAGCAGGGCGTTGTCCCAGGGACACTGCCAGACCAGTTGGAATATGTTGCTATGGTTTAACCCCATGGCGATTTGACTGTGTTTGTGGCATCTGAGCGCTGTTCGGATATTGTGAGCGCCCAGATCCAAGCTATCTGGGGATAGGTTGAATGTGGGGGTTCTGTTAAAGGACCACTCTAGGCACCCAGACCACTTCAGCTTAATGAAGTGGTCTGGGTGCCAGGTCCAGCTAGGGTTAACCTATTTTTTCATAAACATAGCAGTTTCAGAGAAACTGCTATGTTTATGAATGGGTTAAGCCTTCCCCCTAATCCTCTAGTGGCTGTCTCATTGACAGCCACTAGAGGCGCTTGCGTGATTCTCACTGTGATTTTCACAGTGAGAAGACGCAAGCGTCCATAGGAAAGCATTATGAATGCTTTCCTATGTGACCAGCTGAATGCGCACGCAGCTCTTGCCGCGCGTGCGCATTCAGCCCAGGAGGAGGAACGGAGGAGGATCGGAGGAGTAGAGCTCCCTGCCTAGCGCTGGAAAAAGGTAAGTTTAACCCCTTTTCCCCTTTCCAGAGCTGGGCGGGAGGGGGTCCCTGAGGGCGGGGGCACCCTCAGGGCACTATAGTGCCAGGAAAACGAGTATGTTTTCCTGGCACTCTAGTGGTCCTTTAAGTATAATAGGAATTATGTATTTTTATGTGTTTTTACTGTTGTTGTTGTGAATAGAGCTATTTTCTGTATGCTGGAGGTAATTGGCTTACCACACCCAAGCCATGCTTGCAGGCGGTCACAAAGGGATTTCCAACTAACTTTTGACTCAATGGACCAATTTGTATGATTTTGACGTATGTTTGTATTTGGAGTATGCTGATTCTGAAAATGTAAGTGAATGTGATGTATACTTTTAGAGTTATGAATATTGTGTAAAACTGTGTATTTTCCTGCCTGTGATAATTACATTAGACCATTGTGTTCAGTAATTATATCACAGGCAGAGGGGAGGATTTTGTGTGGGAGTGTCTGAGTGTATTGTACATATTGATTGGTTGTTCTGCAAAACCCTGTTGGCAGTACTATGTGTGTAAAATGTGCATAAAAGCAGAGTGTTTGATTAAAAGCTTCAGTTCTACTTCACCCTCAATTTGGAGTGCCGTCTCTTATTGGGGGAATCTGCTATAAGGGATTGCTATGCTCTGCATACTCTCTTGCTATATTCACTGCTAAGCTTTTGTAAGAGCTTGTTCCTGTCTTGCTCCCTGGAGGAGTCTACGGTGGTTATGGTGTCTGCTGCAGTGTTTGGAGTCCTCAGGAAGCGCTAGGAGCATCCTTTAACGGAGGTACCCAGTCGGGGTGCTAGGTGATCCGTTACAGTATTGGTGCTCTGTTGATGGCACAGACAGCGCATCAAAAGTGCAGGATCTATTTACTAAACAGTTGGTTGTGTTACATTGATGACTCTTCTCATTTCACCTAAACATCAACTCACCTTGGTTTATTGCATACCTACCAGTCTTCTCTTGCAGGGAAGCTGCACAGGGTAGCAGGCCAACCTAGCATAGGGGCTTGTCTGACCGGCAAACTGGCTGGCTGGCTCACCCCTAAAGAGGGTGGGTAGGCTGAGAGGTCTGCTGAAGTACGCTATGCATGGTCCAGTGTCCAGTTCCCTCCAACATTTGGAAATATGCCAGCAGATTTCAAAATGAGGGACTGATCCTGAAACCATTTTGCTGGGCCAGTATTCCAAGTGTGGGACTGTTGAAACTTATGAGTGTTTATGTATATAGTATGCCAGAACATAGGGTTTTACCATCCAGAGTGTTTTAGAGGACAATTCATTCCAGCATGCTATACATTAAAAACATACATAAAGCATATATCATGATATTCTAATAAATTACAGTGTAGTCCTCCTGTATGCAGTGGTTGTCATCAAAAACATGCAAACGTATATAATATTTATTACAATTTCTTTATTATTTTATAGTGTGATTACTATGGTGCACTTACCACCTCAACGACGCACTACATTTCCTAAGAAAATTAGCACAAATAAGATGAACCATCACTCTGAGTACTGTATTTTGGGTGTGAACTCCAGAGAGCACTTCCCAGACTAAGCCAAAGTACAGCCCGTAAATGATGGCGTCACAACACCAATAATCTCTGACCGATATTTATTCCACCAGAGTGGACTTGGCAAAACCACGATTACAATGCATGGTCAAGCTTACATTTCCTAAGCAGGTTGAGAAAAATCTGACTAACTATGACATCATGTGCAATTATCACAGACCAATCACAAGAGCTCAGTGTCTACAATATTACTGATTAAATTAACTGTGACATATGCTGACCTCACAATGAGCAAAGCCCAGTTATTCCAGGTGTTTACTCTGTGTGTGTCTTTGAGACAGAACCGTTACAACTACTCTGCAGGATTTATAGCAAAAAGGTAGGGACAGGAAGACTGTGACTAATGGGTGTAGGTAGTGTATTTATAATAGGGACATCATGTCGATTTGTTTGTGAGTTTTCATCAGCCATTTTTAATGATGGGAATGTGCTTGTTAAGATTGGGGGAATATAGAGATTGTTATAGTACTGCTTATGGGGTATATGATGTATTCTAACATTCCTCCTGCAATTTCTTTCAATATACTTTCTTGCTCTTATTTCGATCTGTAGGTAGAAAATGAGTCACATTACAGATCATGCTATTGTTTTTATGCT